AGTTGTCAGTGATCTATGGCTCTGTGTATTAAATGCTGCTCCATCTGAAAGCATGTCATGGATATATATATATATATATATATATATAAATTAGTAAGTTAATTTTTAAATTATATATTATACAGACAGATAGATTATACATTAAAAAGATAGAAATATGCATTAAATATACATTTACTGTATTGTAACTGTAATAATTATAATTATTAGTTAACAAATTTTATTAACAAAATAGTAAGATAACAGTTCTTGCATGATACATTTTAATAATTATTATTCATTCTTATAAATAATAATTAATATATTTAATATGTAATATAATTTAAGTATAAATTGAAGAATAAGTTATCTAGTATAGTAAATCTTGCCTTAGCATACATCGTGTATAACATCAGACTATCCGTATCAAGCGAATCATATTCTGACGAATTAAAATACATTATTATCTCATAGTTTCACAGTCAAATGCTTCAGATTACACAAATGCAAATCAGATTTTCATCCAACGATGAGGCTGGAATCACTCACCCGCCTCTTTGCTCTCCGTCGCCCCCTGGTGCTCGTCCAGACGCAGGTCGCTCAGCAGGTGCTCCAGGATCTTCTGGGGCGTCCCGGACACCACCACATACCTGCGGGACAGAGCAGAAGAGGAAGATTCGGATGGGTACTCGTCCTCAGAGGAGGAACACGCCGAACAAGAGCCGCTCCAGCGCCGTCTGTTTACAACATAACCATCATCATCCTCCTCCTCATCATCATCAATGTAATGAAAATGAGGAATGTCAAACGTGGGCATCTCATCCTCATCCTCCAGAGTGTTGCTGCACTCCCTGTCTTCATCATCACAGTCATCCTCCTCTGCCTGCACAAGTGTGACGGGTCTGAGTTTCATTGTCCATTCCAGGCAGCTGCGTGCTGCGTCATGCCCGGCGCAGGGGTCCAATCCCGGGCTGCAGAGACGATCGACTCCCCTGTGAGCTCCTGGACAAACTTACACCAACCTGAAAACACTTTGTGTGCAGCAAAACGCACAGATTGCACACAAACACCACCTAAGAAGTCATGTTTACATGCACACGCAAGCTGTCAGCGGTTCCTCCTCAAGCTGTAATGAGGAAGCAAACAACAGTAATGTGTTCGAGAGAGAGAGACTGATTGGAGGAGGGATGGTGCTTAAGGATATGTAAATAAAGGGGAGGGGCTAGATACGGGGGCGTGGCCTCACCTCTTATCTCCGTCCTCGTCTTTGACTCCGGCCGTTTGTGGAGACACGGGATCTGATGGGACTCTCTGGAGAACCAGTACGTCTTGACCCCTCTCCTTCAGACTGACGCGCACGGTGCTCTCGCCCTGCGCCTGAGAGACCAACACACAAACGAATCACTCACTGATTCACAGCCAAACGAATCAGTTACACACCAAAACACAATGGTTATCTGACTTAAATAGACATTAAAGGAATAGTTCACTCAAAAATGAGCATTCTGTCATCATTTAGACTGGCTATGTGAACTGAATCAACTGAGTCGACTCAAAAGAATGAATCATTCATGAATTACTCATAATTGCTTCTCATGAACATGCCAAGAAAAAACTAGGGCAAATATCAAGATCTTCGGTGAACAGCAACTTAAATCTCATCTTGTTTGTCGCACAAGTCATATGCACTACTTTAATGGTGCTTTTATGACACTTTTTGCCATTTGTGGCCGCAAAGAGCCTGAGAGACGAACAGAGAACCAAATCACCTACTGATTCACATCAAAAATGAACACACAAAAAAATTAATAAAAATTTCACTTAAAAATGAACTTTCTGTCATCATTTAGACTGGCTGTGAACTGGATGTGAACTGAATTCATTCAATATTGACTCAAAAGAATGAATCATTCATGAATTATTCATCACTACTTCTCTCATTAATATGGAAAATAAAATAGGGCAAATATCAAGATCTTCGGTCAACAGCAACTTAAATCTCATCCTGTTTGTCACACAAGTCATATGCACTACTTTAATGGTCTGCTTTTAATGCTTTTATAGCACTTTTTTGTCACTTCTGGACATTAGCACCAAAGCGCCTGAGAGACAAAGAACCGAATCACTTACTGATTCACAGCAAAAATGAAAAAAGAAAAAAACACACACACAGTTACACATCAAAACACAACGATTGTCTATTTAAGATGTTACTTAAACAGACATTAAAGGAATATTCCACTAAGAAATTAACATTCTGTCATCATTTAGACTGGCTATGTGAACTGAATCAACTGATTGAAAAGAGTGAATCATTCATTAATTATTCATAATACTTCTCATGAACATGCCAACCAAGAATAACTGAATAACGGCGAATGTCAAGATCTTCAGTGAACAGCGACTTAAATTTTGACCTGTTTGTTGCACAAGTCATATGAACGACTTTTAATGTTTTAATGATACTTTTTTGTCATTTATGGACATTGGCAGTAAATTATATTGAAAAGACCAGGTCAGATATTCTTCATACATTCTCATTTTATGTTTCATGAAAGAAAGAATGTTTGCAAATTTGACAGATGAGCAAATTATGACTACTGAACATCAATTTTAAATATTTTTAAAACAGTATTCATGTCAATGCTACCATTCATATCTTTGGATACGGACAATAAAAAGAACAAATATTGATTCTTTAATTAAAAAGCAAAAGCATTCAGTCACAAACGACACAAACTCTCAGGTTTGCATGCAAATATATCACAGCGTGCATTTCTGTCTCCAAAACCGACAAGTTTCTGCTTGCATTTCTATCACACTCAAACTCTCACTTTCAGTTTCAATTAAGCAACATGTCGTTAGGGAGAAACAGTCAGAATCACAATATAATATACTGCCCAAACTCCACTAAACGCACAGAAATGCTTCATCAATACGGCTGCTGTTATAGACCATCCTAAACAACAAACTAACCTGATTTATAAACGAATCAAACGGCTAACTCGACCAGCATCCGCTGATGCTCTAAACAACATTTCAGTGGTATTTTTTACAGTTTTTTGCTGAAATAATTCTGCTCTGAAAACAATTTCAAAACAAATATATAAACATTGAAACAATGTTTAAGCTACAATTAAATACATTGTGTTAATCGATCACAATGACAGCAGGTAAATTTAGAAATGTCATCAGTCCAGATGTCTGTAAATACTGGTGTCATCAGAATGAACATCTGCAGTTTGAGTCGCAGCATTAAAGCAGATGTGGCGTGTGTCTGTGCCAAGACAGCATCCGCTGAAATGACTCATTCTCTGACTGAACACCTTTACTGGTGAGTGAGGCCATAAGCTCCGCCCACACATGAGTGCCTGTCTGTCTGTCTGGGAGCAGGTGGGCGGGTGATGACATGCTCTAATGCTGGACTCCAAAGTAGGTCATCTGAACAAACTGCCTACAGTCACTTCTGCAAGGGTTTAGGTTTAACACTGTTTCGAAAGAAATTAGAATATATGATGTTGAATGACACAAAATACGCCCTAAAATAAAGACCTAATGGAATTAAAATTGCAGTTTTGAGGCTTTTAGTACATGTCGGTTAGCAAAAGTTTGGGGTCAGGAAGATTTTTTAATGTTTTTGAAAGAGTCTCTTCTGCTCTCCAAGGCTGCATTTATTTGATAAAAATTCAGTAAAATCTGTAATATTTTGAAATATTATTACCATTTAGAATAACTGTTTTCTACGTGAATATATATTAAAATGTAATTTATTTCTGTGATCAAAGCTGTATTTTCAGCATCATTACTCCAGTCTTCAGTGTCACATGATCTTCAGAAATCATTCTAATATGCTGATTTGCTGCTCAAGAAACATTTCTGATTATTATCAATGCTGAAAACAGTTGTGCTGCTGAATATAATCACGGAAACCACAATTCCTTTATTTTTCAGAATTCTTTGATGAATAGAAAGTTCAAAAGAGCAGCATTTATTTTAAATAGAATCTTTTGTAACATTATAAATGTCTTTACTGGCACTTTTGATCAATTTAATGTATCCTTGCTGAATAAGTGCTAATTTCTTTAAAAAAAAAAATCTGTGGATCTCAAAGAAATGTCAGGGTCATATTTCATCCTGAAAATCAAAAGAAAAACAAAAAAATCATAATTTGCATAATTGTTAAAATGTAATGCATTCAGTCACTATTTTCATGACAATTAAGAATATTTTCCTCCAACATGATAAAATTATATATATATATATGTGTGTGTGTGTGTGTGTGTGTGTGCGCGTGTACTTTTATGTATATATATATATATATGTACTTTTATGTCATTATGTTTCTTGATCTAAACTTAATTTATGGTGATTTTATAAAAAAAATAATCATTATGTCTCCTCTTCCTGACAGGTTTCATGAGCTTCACTTCACTTGTGCTGCTTTTGGCAGCTATGACGTAAACAAAACACTTAGCTATTTTAAACACAGAACAAGTCCTTCAAATATGTTCCAAACAACTTCCTTTCCTCATTAAAGTAATACTTCAACATGAAAAAGCAAGCATTTCATGCAGTCGAAATGCAATCGACGCAGACATCCTTGGCTCGGTTCAATCCACCAACAGGCTTCCAAACCCTGGACAAAATGTTCTGGAACAATATACAATATCCATTAGCAACTAAACTCGCTTCCATCCCCGAACGACCTTCAGTCGAGAGTCTGCTGCCTGCGAGACTGTGAGTGATGATTGGTCACTCAGCCGCCCTCCTGTGGAGCGAAGGATGCTGGGACGCCGCAGGAGTCGCCTGTCGATCATCAGACCACCGGGACGGGAAACAGATGGATTATCTGTGCTCAGACAGACACGAGCATGACCTCTGACCTCCTAATGAACATCACGACCCCCTCGGAATTCACTGTAACTTAACCGGAATTCGAATTCCAAAAAAAGATGAAGATTCCAAAAATACTCCCAGTCTGACCGCAAATTATTCAAAGCAGAAAACAAACACGGAATGTTTCCCAAACATTCCCGAAACGCTCCAAAACAAACGTGGATATCAGATCGAGTCTGCGCTGCTCCTCCCTGCAAATGTGTTTATAAAAAGCAACGCTAGTAAGATTTCACTGCAGTTACGCAATTCCACGGAAAAACACCTACATTAACAAACACCAGGCCAAATGCTGCTGGGAAAAAATGTTGCCGATGCAAACGATAACAAATAGTTTATCTGCGTTGACCGTGTTTCTCTAGAGCCTTTCCAAAATCAACATGCTGAGTACTGCTCTTATGTGTGCACATCAAAGTCAATGCATGAAAAATAAATTTTTTCCATTTTTAAGCTGGCAGTGAGAGCATTACGTAACAGAAGTGGTACATTGTGAATGAGTCTCACAGGATCTGCAGGGACACAGTAATAAAATAATGACATAAAAGAAATGCCTGTGATGATGATGCAACAGGAAAGTCAATTATAATGTTTGGCATCATTTTTGACCACAGAATGACGAGACTGACCAATCAGGGTGTAGTATTTCAGAGATAATGAGGGCTCAGCGCTCACCCAGAACCAGCAGCTCAACCAGATTATATCATAACCACATCAGATTACAACAGACGCATGAAACCAGACCTTCCCATCCTCCGGTTCCTGTAGGAAAACCCCATCCCTGGTTCTCCAGGATGTTACCTCATCACCTGACATCTCCCTCTGCTCTCTTCTTCCTCTCAGTCTTACATTTATGCATTTGGCAGATGCTATTATTGAAAGCACTGAGCGTTTGCATTTTATCAGTTCATGCATTCCCTGAGATTCAAAACCAAAACCAAGATCTTTAAATCTTGCTTTACCAAACCAAAAATGTTCCTTTTTGAACATCAAAAAAAAAAAATAATAATAATAATTTCACTGATATTACCTGGTCTCTGT